CAATTATTAGTAATAATAATGGTAATTATCTAATTTATTGTTAAATATTTAATCTTAATTATTTATTATTAATGATATTTTAAATTATTTATATAGAATCTAAACAAATTGAATTAACTATACCAGATGATTTTTAAATTAAAGCAAGCCCTCCTTGTAATTTAACCTGATTGAAATGACATATCACCATGTCTCTTATCATCATTTAGTATTATTTATTTATTATTTTATTAATATTTTTATATTCAACATTTATATATACTGTTTTAACATTTTTATCATCTATAGACACTCACACAAATGGCAATTAATTTTATTACCATATTTGGTAATCAGAGGGATTTTTTGTTAAAGAATTATACATATATTATTATTTTTATTAAGGAATGTGAATATTATATTGTTATGTTATATTGTGGGGAATATAATCATATTATTATTTTATTTATTATTTATAATCAAAGTTATCTTTATTATTATAAACAAAATATTGATATTTATTTGAGGTGCAGATTTTAATCTCATTATTATTTATATTATTTCGAGGATTGTTACAAGAAATTAATTATGGTACTCACTATTAAAAACATAAGTTTAACACCCTTTACTACCAGTAGGGAGAGATTCAGTATGGTATAACTCTTGCAGAACATATGGCATGGTATGGTATAGCCCATATTTTTCCATTCCAATTCACACAAAATTTTATTCTAAATCCTTTTTTGGTGGGTGTGAAGGGAAGCATGTTAGATTTAAGCATTGGTATACAACACTTATACAATACCATACCATACATTCTGCAAGAGTTATACCATACTGAATGTCCCTATACTCCTTTACTAGATGTGTAACCCCTTATGACAGTGTCAAAATACTTTGGGGTGCATGTATACTTGGGATAATTCTTGTTTAATAGATAAATGATAAAATCTATGACATATGTAAAACATTAGCAATATGAAATTCAATATTAATTATTTTAAGGATACTGGCTGCAACTTTTGATGATGGTTGCTACCATCTTTGAAACCAGTGGTTGCAATCATTTTTATATGATGCAACCACCTTTATGACCATTTTGATTCCTTTTTTGGATTGCAATATTGTTTAAAAGATTGTGTTAAATAAAAAAACTGTCCTCATTATAAATACCTTATCAACAATAATATTATCAATTTTACATCTTGGTCATGAGTGCTTATTATTTGTATATTATCATAAACAATTTGGTTGTTATTAGGATTTATGGAGTTATGCTTGAGAATAAGAAAAACTTATTAAGTAACCCAAGGTACAATTTGTCTCAAGATAGTAACATAAACAAACCTCAGCTTCATTTAATGTTTTTTAACATTGAAGGAACTTTCAGAGTGAATAGTGTTGTGGAATGACTGCTTACTGAAGATATTATTTCTGATTGAAGAGAGCTCAATTTTATGTCCATCATTTGTACTGCAACTTCTGATCCATGTAGGTTAGTTTTTGTTTCAAATAAATTTTCATTTGCCTGTAAGTCTGTTAGTTTTTTTTGCAAGTAAATCAATAATACAAATTAATAAATTATTTCTTACCTTTTTATCCATTCTGTTGAAAACTGCTGTAGCTTCTTTGAATTGGAAAATTCTTTCCACATCATTATAAAGTTTTGTAGCTTTATCCCGTCCTTTTTATTTATTGAACAATGTGTACTTGCTAATCGAAGCTGATGTTTAAATTCAGCTATGGTATCCTCATGATTTTCAGATGTCACCATTGTACAATTTTTTTCAATAGAATCTAAACAATCTATGATGCACCATTTTGAATAGTTTGTTTCCCTAAAGTAATTGCCAATCTCATCTGAAATTTTTATGCTAAATAATAATAATCATTGTTAGTACAAAGGTAATGTCAACAATTTTTCTTTTAAAAAGAAAATTGATGGCATAGACATAATGATCTCTGAGAAGAAGTTGCCAATCTCATGTGCTAAGCTGATCCTAGCAGGAGCATGACACCTACTTTCCAAACATCGATCAAGGGAGGTTCACAGTAAGTGAAGCAGTTCCCATGCATTGTAGGGAGGCATTAAGTCTAATACACTGAAAAGAAGTTGTCAATCTCATGTGCTAAGCTGATCCTAGCAGGTGCATGATGCCTACTTTCCAAACATCAATTGAGGGAGGTCCACAATAAGTGAAGCAGTTCCCATGCATCATAGGATATTGTAGTTTGCCAACATTTGAACAAAAAAATGTTATATAAACTCTCCTGATATAATATTTTTATTTAATTTTTAAGAATTGTTATTTGATCAACAAATGTGTACACATTAATTATTTATATTATTTATTTGTTTTTTTGTTGACGTAGTTTTTTTTTTGGGAGGACAGAGATGAATTGATTTTTTTTCTTTGGTATATTATGTATAAATTAATCATTTCCATATTTCTGTTTCTCTTTAATCTTTATTTGACCAACTGAACTTGTTATTTAAATGGGAGGGTTGTTGGTGAGCAGACATGTCACAAACAAGACAGCAACCCAGGACTCAAAACTCTGAACCCAGGGAAAATCCAAAACAGCGACTCAGGTTGTGATCTCCCGAGTCAGAGAAATTTGAATCAGTTACAGACACCTGACTTTATTTTAGTGAGAGGTGATAACACAAAGCAAACATCATACAAGCATCAGCTATCAGTGATCAATGCTCATATGGTAACAGCCTGGTCTGAGGGGAATATACATGGGATTGTAATTATTTTGCCAATAACATAATATGTAATATGTAATACATTATTATGAAATTAATTACAGGTGACAAAATCAATTATGAACAGTGTTGTACATGGGGCATGTCCGCCTAATATTGAGTGGACATGGACACTGTCCAAAAATGTCTGCATAACAATTTGTCATGCGGACATGTCCGTTCATTTTCTTAAATGTCCCGGACTGTCTGGGACCTGTAGTACAAACCACAAGTTAAATGTGAGAAAATGCCTTTACCACCTTTATTAACTCAACATATTATTAAAACCATATAAACTAAACCAAAGCAATTCAAAAACATTTTGTAAACATGTGTCACTGATTAAATTTTGGGAGAGCATATTTTTAATTGGTGATAACAATTATTTTGTTTTGTGTGGATCAGAATGAATAGGGATCAATGAATTGATTTTGTTATTAGTGAATAATTTTGGGTAAAGAAGATAAAAGTTTTAAATAAAATATTTATTATTTTATTTATTTGGTTTTTCTTAGTTGAAACTAATTAACTTGTTAGAAAGTTACTTTACAAGTACATTGAATTCAAACTCCTTATATACAATTCAATTAATTAGTAATTCTAATAATATTTCAAAATTGAAATTTCCATTCATTATTGAAAAGTTATTTCAATATTCAAAATTGTGCTGATATTTCAAAATTGCGCTGATATTTCAAAATTGAAATATCTGAAAGACGATTTTTCTTTAATAAAGTTAAATAAATTACGGCGTTATACAAATAATTAATAAAAATTAAAAAATAAAACATATAATAAAGATTATAAAAAAATAGAAATAAAATATTATAATAATAAAAATTAAGAATTTTGAAATTAATTAAATTCGGCCAAAAGAACATCCAAATATAATTCTGGTAACACATGCGTTGAAAAATTAGGAGAGGAGGAAGGGAAGAAAAAATGGTTTCCAAACAAAAAGGATCGAATAATTCAGCATTTAATTAATTAAATGATCCAATATTAATAATCCAGAGCCTTGCTTTAGAGTAGAGGCAGAAAGTTAATATAAAATTATTTTTTTACAAATAATTCATTTGTAATAAACATTTTCATAATTTAAACAAATTAATTCTTTTTTTGTTTAATAAAACCACTTTTATGGTCGGAAATTAAACAGTGGGTTTAACCTCCAATTGGTTATCAGAGTGGTTAAAGCAAAGATTTTTTTTTAGATATTTGTTTTAGTAAGAAAGCAAAGGTTTAATTTTTTGGTTTTTGTTAAGTGTAAATGTTTTTGTTTGATTTTTTGTTAATTGACCACCTACTGTATACAAGTCATTATCACATGTTATTGTAAAGTAATTGTTGCAAACATACAGCTGACTTCAATTGGCCAAAGAAAGTAAAAGCAAAACAAATAAAAGGAACTCTACAGAAGCTTTATTGCTTTGTTAATTGTACCATAAAGTGTTTACAGATTCACCAAAGCTTTAAAAAAGAGGTAGTAGACAAAAATTTATATTTTTGTCCAAGAATGGTCCGGGACATTTAAAGTGACGGACACGGACACGGACAGTCCCAGACTGGACAGTCCATGTCCATGTCCGTGTCCGCTGACAACACTGATGATTATATAATTGTCATCTTATTATGTGTTTGCACAATCACAGTGACTTCCGATTAGTAATGAAAAATTAGTCCACTTGGCTAAAATTGACATTTAAAGAAAAGAGTTAAAATCAAGATCATTTAATGAACTATTGTTGCTCGTATGCATTTGGATGTGACTTGTGTACTTGCCCGTGGTTCACCACTACTACCACTACTGCTATAATCAGTTTTACGATTTTTAATTTTAAAATTAAACTATTATTGTTACCATTATTTGTTAAACCTTTATTTTTATAAATTTCGATAAGATTCATGCAAATAACCTTGTTGGTAAACCTAATGACAATTCAATCTGGTATTGTTTTTCTAACCAAAAGAGAATGCATTATATATTATTTGGGACAATAATTGATATACTTCGTTCACAATAATGAAAAGATTTAAAATATAAAAAATTAATTATTTCATTATAACACGCAATAGAAGCAGAACACATGATTCTTGTAAACGTTCAAATAATTATCACTTAATTATTTAAACAATGTTA